AATAGTCGTAGCCTGCATATCGCTCAGGGCGATGGGTCAGGGTAAATGAATACAACTCAACTCAATCTACATATCGCTCAGGGCGATAGGTTAGGGTAAATAAATACAACTTAACTCAACTCAATTAAAATTTAGGTTAGGAATAACCGTCTAGCGCGCCCCTAGCGCGCCCTGATCGGGTTTAGCAGGAATGACCTTGTAATTCCTGAGGTTATGATAACCAGGGCGATGGGTTAGGGTAAATAAATTCAACTCAACTTAACTTAATTAATCATATTTAGGTTAGGATAAACAACTTCCATTTCTCAACCACCCACCGATATATACTCAAAGTTGGAGAACATCCGACGGTGAACGAGGATACAGACGTAGACCTAGACGTAGATGCAATAGACGCATTTGAACGGACGCCACTATACTAGGCTATCGAACGCAATGACGCTGACGCTATTGCCTCGCTGTTACGCAAAGGAGCAGACCCGAACATTTCCACAACCCGGTCTGGCTGGACTAGCATACACTATATCGCCCGGGCGCAGTCAGAAAACGAAGAAATTATAGCCCTACTTATAGCGCATGGAGCTCGCGTCAACGCTCTAGACAGTAATAGCCAAACACCTCTTTCCAGAGCGATCCGACACAACAACGCCGCTGCCAAATTGAAGGCCCTAGTAAAAGCAGGTGCAGATCCAAATATGCAATACGACGAAGCTAAGTGGTCTGCTTCTCATCTCGCAGTTTTCATCGGCCAGAAGGCCTGTGTCAGGGCTCTACTTAAAGCGGGTGCAGACTTCTCACTGAAGACCGTCCTTGGGACCAACGTTATTACCTTTACGGCAAAATATGGAGACCTTGAAATGTTGAAGATACTTCAAGAACACAAATCGACATTGAAGGATACTCTTCGCGACCCGGTCTCGAACATCCAGCTGCAAGAAGTTAAAGACTTTCGCCGACAGAAGGATCTTCCTCTTCCTAATAATGAATGGAAATCTGCCTGGAAAAGCCTCTTCGAGGACAATACGGCGGACAACGCAGATCTTCATTGTTTGGATTCAAAGTCTAGCGACGATGATAGTATTGATTTTTGTGATGCTGTAGAATATCCTCAGTCGGATTAGCATTTCGAGACTTGCCGACTAAATGGGTTTACATAATTGCGATTATGGCAGGCGTATCTTTTATGTGACAAATTGATGCGATAAACATTAGGCCGTATAATATTGAATCTCAGCAGCTACTGCTTCTATTTTTATAGAGTGAAGCAGCAGGCAGCGTATGAAAATCGCCTTGGTGAGGCCGCGAAAAGACCATCCTTTTGACCGCCTCGGTTGAGGCGCAGAACGGCATGGCCCGGGCCGCCCGGGGCGCGACGGCAAACGTCCGTTCGGGTGAAGAGAAGAAGGTTTCGTGGGGATACCGGTATCGGGCCTTGAATAGGGGCGTGTCCCCTTTCGGCTCGCTAGTCCGCACCGGAAACTGGCCTGTGCCACCACGTCTGACCGCCAGAGGGAGACACCTTATCACAACAACACTCTCTTAAGAAGGCGGCTGCTGACTTCCTTGTTCATCTGGAAATTTCTACGGCTTGAGTTTGCTTGCCGACCTTCTGGAAGAGCCGAGACCATGCCATAATCCTCTCTTTGTCAGTCCTAAAAGGCCTTTGAAGTGGCTGCACGAATAGGTGAGCCTTTGTTGTGTTGTCGCCGCCAGTGCCACCATGACTCGACGCACCTGAGCTTCTGCGGCCCAGGCTTGCCTATACGAAAACCCATCAACCCATCCGCGATCCCGCAGCCCGCATTGACGCCTGACAACGTTCTTCGCCCTTGATGATATGGGGATCTTATCCCGCTTTCGAGTTGCTTCCATGCAGCTGTCACGCTAGATACGGACACGCCGAGCCCGAAGTGTTCTCTCAGCTGCGAGCTCGATGGGCCGATACGAATCACGACTGCAGGAGGTGCTAGCTGGAGAACAGTGCTTGTGGCCTACCGGCATCAAAATCTTTCGTCGAACGAGCTTTGTCTACATCGAGTTGCGGATCAGCACTACGCTTCAGTGCGAGAAGGCTGTGTCGGCATACTCTAGCCAGAGAACGCATTGTTCACCGCGACTTCCAATATAAAAACCTACAAGCCCAGGAACTTGCTCTGTAGTCTGTAAGAGCAACCAAATTCCTCACTCGGCGCAGTACACTTCAAAATGGTTTACTCTACGAAGCTCCGGTCTATTGCCGCCTCTGGCCTGCTCGTTAGCACTGCCGCCGCTGCTGGTTCGTTTCTCAATCAAAACTGTCTTCTCTTCAAATGCTAACCGCTTGGTAGGCTGCTCCGCACCAAAGGGTGGTGTTCTTGTTGTCGATGTCGAAGAAGCCCTGGACTTGGCTTCCTGCAAAACCTTTGACGGGAGCATCGCCATTTCCAAGGATGTCTGGGACTCGATTAGCCTCGACGGCCTTGAGGAGATTACTGGCAGTCTCTCCATTGAGGAGGGTGCCGACACCCTGACCTACTTCTCCGCCAACTCTCTTACTTCCCTTGGCAGCCTCGGCCTGCATGAGGCTCCCATCCTCACTGGATTCGATTTGCCATCGCTGAACAAAATTGACTCGCTTAGCTTGTCTTCTCTGCCTCTACTCTGGGATGTAGACTTCGGCGACAGCATCGAGAAGTGCTCGTCTGTTGAAGTGCGCGACACGACCCTCACGAAGCTCGAGCTGGATGTTGCTGAGCCCGACACAATCATAATCGAGGAGAACGACTTCTTGTGGTCCGTCAGTGTGTCCTCCACCACTGTCAATGAAGAGATCTCGATTGGAGCCAATGGCAACGCCCTGGACATCAGCTTCCCCCAGCTGGAGTCGGCTTCCAAGGTCACGATGAGCAATGCGTCGGCCTTGTCTTTCCCCGCTCTGACCAGCATCGACTCTTTGGTCATCAAGGACAGCTACATTGTCGACGAGGGATTTGACTTTTCTTTGCTTGAAACTATTTCCGGCGACCTTGAGATCAGCGGTGTTTGGGACTTGAGCTCGCTCTCGCTATCCTCGCTGAAGAGTGTAAGTTCGAATTGAAATGTTGGCAAACCAGAATCTAACATGCTTTAGGTCGGTGGTGACCTCAAGGTTTGGGACAGCGGCTTCTCAAGCGTCAACTTCGAAAGCCTCGAGACTGTTGGTGGTGACATGGAACTGAGTGGTGACATTGAGGAGTATGTCTTCCCATCTGACTTCTTTCCAAAATGCGAGCGAACTAACACCCTTCAGAGTTTCCATGGACGAGCTCAAGGAGGTCTTCGGATCTTTCGATGTCTCCGGCGCATCCAACGCCCAGTTCGACTGCAGCGACTGGTCTTCCTTCGTCAAGGGCAAAAGCTCGTGCGACAAAGACAACAAAGACGAGCCCCCAGCGGAGGTTTCTGTCAGCGTCAGCCGCTCCACTCCGGTCGCATCTATTCCTACGGACATCGCTTCCACCCCCGCCCTCTCTACTTCCGCCATTTCCATTCCCGCGACCCCTACACCTATTGCTGCGACACCTGCTGCCACCACCCCCGGCCGCCCCGCTCCTGTCACTCCCCACTCTACGCCTGGTGCGGCCTTGACGCCGAAGCCGTTGGCCTCGACGCCTGTTGTCATCTCTTTGCAGACGCCTATTGTCGAGACTATCACGAACTCCAATGGCTCCGTTACGTTGACTACCGAGACCTGGGCAACCTCTACGCCTGGCGTTGGATTCGGTACGCCTACTCCGACTCCTAGTAACCTGGTTCCGCCGTTCACAGGAGTCGCTGCCTCCGTCAGGCCATTCGTTGGCATGGTTGGTTTTATTTTCGCTGTCGCATTCCTCGGCCTTTTATAAGGCGGCCTTGAGGTGACATTTATGTTAATGAGTATGAGTAATCTTAATGTACCTACAAACGTGTAGATAGGGAATAATGAGCGGATCTAGTGTTGCCAATCCATTTAGGGCGCTTCCTTTTGTCATACACTTCTTCGGGACAATGTATAGCAATATATTCGCTTAAGCGTTTCGCATAATTGTTGTTTAACACGGTCTTGACTTGGTGATGTTATTTGACAGACAAAGTTAGGGATCCATCTGTGATGAAGCAGTGGTGGGTTTATCTAATGAGTGTTGAACATATGACGTGCTGCACTGATGTTGCAGGAAGCATATCCTAATTGCGCTTATGCGGTGCCACACCTACCTTCGCAGTTCCATTGCAACGCCAAAATTACCGATAGTTCTCTGTAACTCTGTCCTTTAAACGCAGGTGGCACAGACAACGACTTACCCGCGCATTCAACGCCACCTTCCGCCGCCGCTGGAGTACTTACAGAAAGTAGGAATGTAACAGGCTTCACTCCCGCATGCTTTTCCCTCTTGGGTCTTACGGAAAGAAGTACGTCAACTACATCAGGGACATAGCTACAACGTATGCCTGATGGGAACATTCCAGATGCGAGTTCCTAGGGCTTTTGATATATCACACGTAGAATTGTAGCCTCCACCGCAAATGAAGGAATTCACGACGGAGCAACAGAGAAATTAGATGCGGATGTTAAGGCCGCATGGGAAGCCAGGCTGCGGAAACCGTAGGTGTTACTGAAAGGCCTCATCGCTGATTAAACTTTTTTATTTCATTCGTCCGACTACTACTAAATTTCAATAACTAATTTGCCAAAATGCTTGCCGGTCTTTATATCTTCAAACAGCCCCTCGATCGCATCCACACAATCTAGTCCCCTTACAGTCCGACTGATAATAGGCCTGATCTCCTTCTCCCTTACGAAGTTGACCATCTCCTTGAATTCCTTTCTAGACCCCAACGTACTCCCTCTTAGTTCTATATTCTTCAACACGGCCTGCATCGGCCAGTCCATCACCGGCGCCACTGTCATTCCGTAGCTTGCAATTACTCCTCCAGGTTTCAAGATCGTCATCGCTCTGACCACAATGTCGCCACCCGCTCCGTCAACAACCGCATCCAAATACGGTCGCTCGTCCGGCAGCATCTTACCCAAAGCCTTAGGCCACTCTTCATCCGTGTATAACACGCCACCTTTCGCCCCTAGCTGCTGGGCTTTGACAATCTTCTCCTCGGATCCCGAAGTCACATACATGTTGCAACCCAGAGCGAGGCCGAACTGTAGCACCTGCAGTGCCACACCACCACCAATTCCGGTAACAAGTATGTTCCGCCCAGGCTTCGCGTTCCCTGACTTTGTCACAAGAGCGCGCCAACCGGTCAGTCCGCAGGCAGGGATGGCCGCGCCCTCTATGGCACTGAGATGCTCGGGACAGAGCTCGACCTCAGACTCGTGGACAACCACGTAGTTCTGGGCAGTACCCAAATGGAGATCAGGCTCTGTACCGCCGATTGTGGTAAACTTTGACCAATCTTCAGGTCCATCGGGGTTCGTGGCCCATCCGCGACATGGCGTGAGAACCACCGGCTTGTGGAGAAGATCCGACGTACAGCCAGGACCCGTCTCGACAACCGTTCCATAGCCATCGCAGAGTAACGGAGCCTTGAAAGATATGCTTGGATATAGGTGTTGGCGGATAAAGAAGTCGCGGTGGTTCAGAGCCGCAGCATGGACTTTGACCAGCAGTTCGTTGGGACCCGGCGAGGGTTTGGGTACAAGGTTTAGCTGAAGCGGGTAATAAACTTTCCCCGCCTTGCCTCTCTTCTCTCGTATAGTAAGGGCGTGGGGCATTTTATCTTTTGCACCCTGAGAAACGATCGAGTAAATAGAAACGATGACAAGAAAATAAGTAGAAGGTTTTTTGGGATAGGGGGATTTCGAGCTCCTATAGCTATGGTCTCCATGTAGCTGAGCTTTCCACACCACGGGTACGATGCTATGAAATTCTGAGAGGATGCATAAAAGAATATATCGGTTGGTGGAAGAATTGTATGGAGGGGGATCAGGATCCCTGTATGTAACTGCCTGTTCGGCATGCGTAAGCATCATATCTTGATGCACCTACCCTGGCGATGAGACTGCCTTTATGTGACTGTCAGCTCTAATGCACGTCGTCACAAAGAGTTTCGCGGGTTGGAAGGTAGTATGGTGCAAACAGCCATGCATAGACCCGCCGGGAAACTAACCAGAGACGGCAGCTCGGCTGAACGGGTTGGCTTGTGAGACATAATTTCAGTCAAACACAGCATCGCAACGATTGCAGCCTAGCTCTTCTAGGTTCGCAGCTACGCAATTGTTATCTTGGTTAATCCTTCCCGTGGTGTCGGTACACCGCTAGCAGGGGGTCATATCAGCTCGCTTCAAGCATCCCCGTCTGATCATTAACCTTAGTATCGTGCATATGTCGCCGAATGACTACATAATTTCCCCAGTTCTTTCTCTGCATGTCAGATCTCACGACGGCAGAGCTGTAGATCCAACGAGTCAACACCTTCATCATCGGAGAACGCTTCCTACTCACCGAAGTACCGAAACACTAAATCCTTTGGCCGACTTTACTAAGATAGGCAAACCGAATAACATCTAATTTAGGTCTAAGGTGGTCTAATCAACATTCCTTGGAAAGCCGAGGAAAAAGAGTTAGATCTGTCTATCAATCGAATTTTCCACCCCAAATTGTGAAAAAGATTGAGGCATTTTTTCTTCCCAGCTTAAACATAAGATACTGCGTTACTTTAATCCTCAACGATAAGTTTTTTCTTGTCAAAGTGCAGCAATCAATATTCTCCAAACATGGCTCACCTTCTCGGAGCTATCGCCACTTTATTAGTGGTTTTTGCCTTTAGATGCATTTACAACCTGATCCGAAATTTTATCAGAGCTCGTTCAATTAAACTGCCGATTGTGCTCGTTCCAGTGGATCAAAGCCAGTTGCTCTGGTTGCTACTATCTCCTTTCAACAGACATCGTCTTCAGCGAATTTTGCCTGCGAGCATTTGGCGGCGCGTAGCTCTCACAATCTTTGGCTGGGAGTTTCACGAAAAGACGCGGCCGTTTGACCAGTTCGCGCCGCATCATGGCTCGTATCTACTAGTAGGCTTGGGCAAACTTGAGCTTTGGACCGCCGATCCCAAGGCGACCCAAGACATACTGCTTCGCGTTCGCGACTTCGAAGTACCGCAGGCACTGGAATATGCTCTAGGTCAATATGGACCGAATGTCTTGACCACCAACGGAGACAAATGGGCAAAGCATCGAAGAATAGCCACGAGCGTCATCGATGAACGCATATCCAAGACCGTTTTCAACGAGTCTGTACGTCAGACCCATGGTCTACTTGACGAGGTCTTGTCAACACACGGAAACAAGTCCTACTCGGCGGAGACACCACTGCTGTTTGATATGCTCAAAAAGATCACCATCCACGTGCTCATTGGGGCTGGTATGGGTACCCAAATGCCATGGAGGAGTGACGAAGACCAGCGGCCGGAGCCAGGCTACAAAATGACACACGTTGAATCGCTCACGACGGTCGTGTCAAACATAGTAGGCGTCGGAATACTGCCCACGAATCTTCTTACCCTTTGGCCCGCGTGGTTACCCGGATACCGCAAGATGACAACAGTCGGGTGCGCTAAGGTCGAAGTACAGAAGCGCAGTAAGTCGATACTGGATCAAGAGCGGAGCCGCATGGCAACAGAAGAGTCGTCGACGAACAATATCATGAGCAAGCTCCTTCAAGCATCAAAAGATGGCAGTTCTCCGGCACAAAGCCTAACAGAGGGAGAGATGATTAGTAACCTCTTCATCTTTACTGCTGCGGGCTTCGAAACAACGGCGACCACGTTGGCGTATGCTATGGTTCTTCTGGCCAGATACCCCGAGTGGCAGGAGTGGCTTCTCGAACAAGTCGATGAGCTCGTATCTGCCGACGAGCCGGAAGCCATGGAGTACACAACAATTTTTCCACAAGCCACTCGCATAATGGCCTTCATGCTGGAAACAGTGAGGCTGTATTGCCCGGTACCGCATGTGCACCGGGAGACCACGTCCCCACAGACCCTTGAAACATCGGCAGGTACTATTCGATTACCTGCTGAAACTAGGGTCTATATAAACCCAGTGGCCATTCACCTCTTACCGTCATGGCGGGACATTAACCGCCAATCGGATCCGGCGTTCTTTAAGTCTGACCCAACAGTCTCTGATGAGCACGCATTTCGACCCTCGAGATGGCTCAACCCACCGGATTCGACCCATGACCTTTTCCACCCACGAAAAGGAACATTTGTGCCGTGGGCAATGGGGCCACGGATTTGCCCAGGACAGAAAATGGCCCAAGTCGAATTCACGGCTGTCATGTTGACGTTGCTGAAGAAACACCGTATCGAAGCTGTACCACTAAAAGGGGAAAGACAGAAGGAGATTAAGGAACGACTGGATGCAAGGCTTCGCGACAGCCAGTGGGTCACCGTTTTGCAGATGAATGGTGTGTTTGATCCTAAGGAGAATGAGGGGCTGCAAATGAGGATTTTGGAACGTAGATAAAACAAATTAGGTGTGATGTCTTGTAGTTAACTCACTGTTAAAGGGATATCGGTGTGATAGTTTTTCATTTGGACAGAACCTTTCAACAAGGCGTATGATAGATTCCGCTATTTTACAGATTGAACGTGGTGGTTTTCAATGAGCGGTCCAAAATAGCAGAGTACATAGTATGCCTGTATTTGCCGCACCTGCTTTGTGACGAGGCGAGTTTGTGGTTTGGGGGTACAGCCGAAAGTTTGCTTTATCATGCTCATTTGGTTCAATTATGCCCTCTGCAAACAAAGAGAAGGGCTAGGCCCATTCATTTTCTTTACTAATTATATTACATGACTAAAATTATGCATTGGCAGCTGATTGTTTATCTCAAAGATGGTCGCTCAAAACTAACAGGCATTCTTTCTTTGCTTCGCCACTACCTCTGCATGTTGAGCGCAGTAATGAACCAACTTTGTCTTTTGACTGTTTTTATGAATACGTACTTGCCACTGGAATATGGCCCAAGCAGTCCTCAATACATTAATTTTGACGGCTAGCGGCAGGACGCTCATTCAGCTCGTGAAAGGGAGGGCTGCCTCTCTTCTTGCGCCAAAGGAGACCAAAGGTCAACACTGATCCAGCCTTGGCTAAGAACGGCCGGTCATCTGACTTTTCTTCTCCTTCGACTTCTCTGCCATCCTGCGCCAAATAAACATGGTAATTTCTGGGCAGGTAGCGGCCTGGATGAAACAGGTTCCAAATCGCAGAGTTGATGAACATGAGTGTTGCCTCAAAGAAATAGAAGTACCATTCATACCGCAAAATGGGACTTAAGCTCTCGAGTGTCTCTAGGTCATCGATTGCTATCGTTGTGTTTCCCACGTGTTCCACCAGGCGGTAGATGCAGCGAATCAAGATCAAAATCATGCTTACATACAGCGTGATCAAGGGGATCTTGACTACCTTGGTGTGTATGTTGGATTTGTTGCATCGCCTATGGAAGAGTCCCGCGAGAAGGACAAAGGTGACTATAACGGCGAGTTGAATCGCGAGCGCGGCTATTGTCAAGTGGCTCCCCAAGTCTTGCGTACTCTTCGATGACGAGGGGTTGGAGGAGAAGGCTACCCCCAGAGCGTTCAAGGCTTCGACAAGCGCCATCAGAGCACCGAAGGTGGACAGAACTCTGTTGGCCGGAAGAGGCGCAAGATATGGTACGTAGTAGAATATTCTACCGAGGACATGGTAGTTGGCGAGTTCGAGAAGCGGACTATGCAGTCAGACGCGGTCAGTCAGCACTCAAATGTATTGCTTGTTAGAATGTAGTACTCACGGGCAAATGTAGATTAGAACTTGACTAAGAATGAAGATAGTCAGGTTATTATTGCTGTAATAGTAGTGGTCGAAGGCTCCGTAGTCCCGCAAAGCGTAGCCGGCTGTAAAACACAATGCACAGAACGAGTGCAGTCCGATAAGTTTCCAGGCTTTGTAGCGACTTATCGTAGACGTTAGATGAGCTGAGTATGGTTGGCAAGAGTGTTGGTTCACTTACTGGCATTGGTAGATATGGCCGACTGCTGAGATAGCAAAAACCACAGTGAAAAAGATAGGCGCTCCTTTGTTAGGAGCGTAGACGTAGAGGCTTCCCAAGACTTGTACATGTCAACAGTAGTTCTGCGGGCAAGATGCTTCGTTGCCGTACCAGGTTTTCCGTCTTCCATCTTGAACCGAAGTCGAATTTCGCGAGCGAAAGCCGATGGACGATGGGCGAAGGGCAAAAGGGGTTGGGCTGTGTGTAATTTGGCCCAATATTGTTGTTAGTAGCATGCTAACGCGTCAATATGCAGTGTAATCCGGGGGTCCTAGCATACTGTGCCACGACGCATAACCCCACAGGACCCTCGCCCTGTGAAAATCACGGAAATCCCTGTGGAACGCATGCGCAGCGCCACGAAGGATCTCGGTTAATCTTAGTTTAGGCTACCACGACTCCCTACCGGATACGGTAGGTCCGAAGTACCGTGGGGGCTGAGCTGTAAGCGCGGGGGCATCCCTACCTGTCGCGTATCACCCCTTGTTCCCGGTTTTATGCGCATGCGGCGTGACCGATCTAAGCATGCGGTTGATCTCCAAAGCACGCGCCAAATGGAGACTTCCATGAAAGCCAGGGATCCTGCTTCTCGTGGGGGTGTTGTCTTTGCCGCCACGAACGGACGAAAAAACCCCACGTAGTTCCAACAAAGTTTGCTCAGCTCTTGGCAGTTGGACTAGCTAGAATCTTTTTTTGGCAATGTCCATCGATGCAAACAGTTGGTATTGTTTTCTGGTATCGAATATACCAGCATAGGTTTTGTAAAGTCATTCGTCAAGAACTCGCAGAGACAAAAATTAGTAGTGAAGCAATGAACTTACCCTACAATCTGTGAGGTTTACTGGCTGATACACGGGTAGTGCAAGTTCTCATGTTAAAGTCGCCGCACGTGTACTATTACGACACTGTAGAGATTGAGGTACACACATTTCTGTCAATATATAAAAAATGTTGCAAAGTTCACAAGTCTTTGAGGAACACTATAGGAGGCCGTTAAATAGTGGCATTATCAGTGTTATATGACTCTCGAGAAATCTTAGTTGTATAACATTTTTCGGTGTGTTGAAGCACCTTAGGGAAATGTAGAATCATGGTGTTGAAGTCCACTCTAGATAATTTCAAAGGAAAGGAGAATTCAATCGATGAAAACAGAGAATAAAGTTAACGGCGTAATGTTTTCAACCACTCGCGAACAGCGGCTCGATCCAGCTTCTGTGATGTCGTTCGAGGAAGTTGTTCAACAGCCACCCACAGTGTAGGGGTTTTGTCAACGGATAGCTTGGACCTAGCATATGTTCGGACCGCATCCAGACGTTCGTTTGCGACCTTTTCGTAGGCACCAGACAGTTCCTGCAACACCACTCTTCTCGGCAACTGAGGATCCGCCAAGCAGACTATAGCAACGAGTTGTGTACGGCCAGCAGCAATTTTCGTCAAGGCGACTACATCCTTTACTTCGCTGCAGCTGGCAATTGCGCTCTCGACCTCCTCGAGCTGAACTGTCTGGCCGCTTATCTTGACCCGGTTGTCCAGCCTGCCGATGAAAGAAATGCTACCGTCAGGATTATACCTAGCGAGGTCTCCCGAGCGATAGAACCCTGTGCAATCTCTTGGACAGGAAGACGACCATACCGGAGGTGGTACGAAGGAGGCCGCTGTTTTCGCATGATCATCCAGGTAGCCCTTTGCCACTCCAGGGCCCTCAATTAGAAGTTCCCCTACGCTACCAATGGGAACAAGCTCGTGAACATTACGCGGGTTCACTATCCAGACAGCGCAGCCGACTGGCGTACCAATGCTGTCAGGATAGGGAATACGTGGTGTCAGATCAGCGACAGTGTTTACGATTGAGGCTTCACATGCCCCCCAGCCGTTGAAAAAGCGAAGGGCTTCGCCCCAAGTCTCGGAGGCCTCGGCTTCGACCTGTTCGCCAATGGAAAGAAGAGACTTTAACCCAGGCACTTCACTGGGCGTCATGGTGCGAAGTACGCTGGGAGGTAGCAAAGCCCAGTTCACTCTTGCAGACTTGATAAAGTCGGGAAGATTTGACGGCTGGACCTCCTCCAAAGGTATGCAAAGACAGCCACCAAACAAGAGGGCCCCAAAAATCTCGTATATGCTACTGTTCGATACATGAGCACCCAATTGGAGCATCCGGCAGTCGGGTTTCCAGTCAAGCCGTTGCGCGAGTGAGACTAGTTTCGAGACCAAGGAGCGGTGCTCGAGCATGACGCTCTTAGGTGATCCTGTACTGCCACTGGTGAAGGAGATGTAGGCAAGATCTTCCGGGGAAATTGGCCTGTCATCAAGCAGGCCAGCAGCGTCAGGAAGCTTAGAAATCGACTCTAAATTGACGGCGAAAACGTTGGGAGCGAGTCCAACCGAGATGGCATACTGTGCAGACGAAGTCAAGACAGCCTTGGTATTTACTTTCGAAAAAGTGGCTGCTTTGCGATCGTACGAGGCATCTTTGTCGATGGGAACACATACTCCGCCAGCCTTCAGGGTACCAAGTATGGCGACGATGGTCCAGAGCGACTTTTCGAAGATAAAGGCAACTATCTTTCCAGGAGACACGCCCATACGTCGCAGCTCGTGAGCGAGACGGTCTGACATTTGGTCCATTTCGGCATAGCTTGCGCTTCCATCACTTGCCTCAACGGCGACAGCTTCGGGCTGCGCACGAGCTTGAGCGCTGAAAATCTCATGTACGCACTTTTCCGTAATCTCAGGCACGCTCGCGTTCCACGAGAGGATCTCCGAACGGTCGTGTGAGTTCAATAGATGCAGCTTCTCAAGCTTCGTTGGAAGAGGAGCCTCAATCAGTGACTGTAGTGTGTGTTCAAATTGGTTCAAAATTCGATGGAGCTGACGATCGCAAATAACCGCCGGGTCGTATTTGGTCTCAAGCGAAACCTCGCCATCCAAGATTCTGCATATTGGCATGAGACTGAAGGAACCTCGAGCTTGATAGTTCACGCGTTCGAGCCGCACCGATTGCGACTCTTCCTCAGTTGTTGGTAGACTTATCGGCTGCGGGGGAATAATGTTGAACAAGCTTTGAAATCGTGAAGCAGTCTGCGCCGCCTCGCTGACTGCACTGATCCTCGGCGTGCCGTACTGCAAAAAGTCAGAGTTCGTCGTGAGTTGTCGCAGCGACGTGGCTCTGTCCTTGATGAGGCGTTCAACGGTCATTTTGCGCTGCAGATTGACCTGCACCGGAACTTCGACTACTGTAGGCCCCAAGGTCGTCTCGACGCCGCTGGGAGATGATGAACGGCCAGATAGAACAAGGCCATAGGCAACACTTTCGCTGTCCGCATATGTGGCGGCAGTCAAAGCCCACGCTGCTTCGGCGAACCACGGTATATGGCTAGGTGAAGGCCCATTTCCGATACGCTTCAAGGTTATCTTCCTCTTGTCTTCTCTGCTTGGATTTGTAGGAAAGTCCGGATCTACTCTCGGAAAGATAGCCGGGGCACCCTTGAATCGAGACGCCCAGAAAGACTTCGCCGCAGGCTCATCAATACTCATACAGTGCGTCACAAAATCCTTGAACGGTGGGTGTTTCTTTGGCGGGTGTCCGAGATAGAAGCCCGCTACATCCTCGCTAAGGAAGGTGATCAGAGACCAGTAATCCATAACAGCGTGATGCATGGTCGCCACGAAAGTCCTGCCAATAAAGACGGAGCGGAAAAGAGGCACTCCAAAGCCTAGGCGTTCTTCATTGCGTAGATACTCTTCGACGTCTCCAGAACGGCGCTCAGTAACATGCTCTTCACTCGTGACGACCTGCACGATTCCAAGACGACAGTGGACAATCCGAGTACGCAGGACGGAATTCAACGAGACCACTTGCCGCACAGCCTCACACCACCGATCAATATCAGCCGCGAGGCTGAAAGACAGGACGATTTGGAACATTTCAGATCGTGTCTCCGCAATTTGGTCAAGTTGTTGAGGAGTACAAGCGTAGACGTCCTCAATCTGGGCTGTAGGCAACTTGCATGCCTCTGCGACTTCTGCCAAGATTGTTTCGTCGACCTCATCTCGTGACATCAGCGCGTGTGGCGCCATCTTGGTAATGCAATGCTGAAAATGGATGTTTTGATATCAAGCAAAGAGGAAAAATCGAGTTGACCGAACGACAGAGAACGAGAGCCACGAGCCGCAGGAAGAAGGTGGCAGGTAGCTGACAAATCCTGCTAGCTGAAAACACGTCCTTGAAACTCTTAACAGCCAACCTCTAATGCGTAATGGCAGCCAACTGAAGCCCCACTGTCGTTGGTGGCAGCGTAAGACTCAGATGAGGGGGTAAATCCTGGTAAACTCTGGCAAGCTGGAGGGTAATGGTGTGATGGGTGTAAGCTTGTGAAAGTGATGAGCTCCGTGGAGCTGAACAAATTGGAATCAACCATGGTAGCCCATCCTTCCACGCGCAATTCCGAGACTTTTTTTCTTCCAAGTGACGATGGCTCCACGAGCTCAAATGACTTGTAACTTTTTGATGCAGTGAGGCGGCGAGGCAGCGTGGGGGCGGGGTTGGGGGTGAACGAAAGTGGGAAGCCGAAGACTCTCATGTCTTAGGATCAGGAGAGGGTCGTGGTGATCAGAAGGTAAAATCTCCAATATCATAGCAGGAGAGGATTGTGGTGATAGGAAGGCGCTGACTGCAGAGGACGGTTTACCATGCTGCAGGCACCCGGATGCTAGACAATGAGATCGACCAACTGTGGGAAGAAAGAAAGCCGACACGCGATCGAGGCGTCTGTATCAATCGCGTCATCGCGGGATGGTTGCAAGAATTAGCGGGACGTAGGGTTGAGGGGAACTAACATTGGCTTGGATGAGTGACCAGGTTGTTGAGACATTCTGCACCCTGATGAACATGGCGCCGGCGTAGCTGTAGGAAGACAGTATTTTAATGCGTGGGAGGAAATTTTCCAGTGGCTGCTTATCTGCTGCGTTCACCCATGTCCTTCCAACTAGTGGGCATAGCGCAAGTCGAGGATGTCACCTTCTATAATGGATACTTATCGAGAGAGCGGATAGCGAAGCAGTTACCGAAAGAAGCCTAGTCAGCCGATTAGCTTTCGCCCCCAACTAAACCCACGGAGATCCCAAAATCCCCCTCAGTTGTCTCGAAAATAAGCGGCCGATCATGTCGATCTAGGCAGCAATGTGATGTAAAACATCCTCGCTGCATAAAAGACCCTTAAGGGTGTTCGTTAGTCTTGCCGAGGGCCCTGTCATGGCCAATCGTGAGCGTTCCAGAAGCTCGTTGGTATGGTTTGCAGATCTGTATGCTGTCGCGAACGTGACTTTATCTGTAAATGTACCTTCGGCGACATGCTGAAGGAGGACTTTCAAGCAGAATTTGCTGCTTTCGAACAGATGGCGATAGAGAATTGCCGAGCTTGTGGCGCGGGAGGATGCTGAGTTTGCCTCCTCTACAACAGAAGGACGGAATATAAATTAGATTCCATGGCGTGGCGGTTTCTCGCAGACCACAATTCAACATCTTTACTCGTCTTCTACCTTGTAACCATCTTCTCTTTTTCAAGACTGCATGCCAAGCTACCATGCCGAATGACACTCCAATCGCTGTCGTAGGCCTCTCCTACCGTGCCCCTGGTATCGGCAGGAAAGGCCTATGGGACTACTTGGCGCAGGCTCGGTCTGCTTGGACTGAGATTCCAGCTGATCGATTTGACAAGTCGGCATACTACAACCCTGGCGCCGACAAGTCCGGCGTCTTCCGAGCGGAGGGTGCTCATTTCGTACCCGACGACATTTACGCTTTCGATGCCGCTTTCTTCAACATGAGAGCAGAGGAGGCTCGGAACTCGGACCCGCAGCATCGAATGATGCTCGAGTGCGCCCTGGAGGCGGCCGAAGACGCTGGTCACAGTCTCATTGACCTGGCTGGCAAGAAGGTCGGTGTCTTCATTGGCAGTGGGCAGCACGAATACTCTCAGCGTCTCGGCGACGACCAATTCTCAGCCAAAACGTTTTCGGCGACTGGAGTTGCGCCGTGCATGGTCGCCAACCGTATCTCCTACTTCTTCGGCATCGATGGACCAAGTGTTTCTCTCGACGCTGCGTGCGCAAGCAGTGTTTACGCTGCACACCAGGCTGTTTCGGCCCTTCGGAACGAAGAATGCAATGCCGCATTCGTAGGAGCAGCAGCATTGAGTTTGGGTCCAGGTGGCTGGCTTGCACTTGAAAAGACAGGGTATCGTGGCCTCTCTTCTCCCTGCTCTTTGATAATGACCATCCTGCTTACAATCCTCTGACAGAGCGCTGTCAGCTCATGGCAGGAGCTACTCGTATGATGAAAAGGCCTCAGGTTTCGGCCGTGGTGAAGGTGCCGCTTGTCTACTAATCAAGCGCGTTGACGACGCCATTCGTGACGGCGATCCGATCCATGCAGTCATTCGCAGTTCTGCCTGCAACCATGGCGGCCGTTCAGAAGGTATTACCATGCCCAACGGGATAGCCCATCGCAAACTGCTTTTGGCGGTACATGAGGCTGTTGGCTTGAGCCCTTCCGATACTCCTGTTGTCGAGGTATGTTCTTCGCTTTGTTCTTTTTCTGTCTTAAATGCTAAGACTTTCATAGGGCCACGGAACTGGCACGGCGGCTGGGTAAGTGACAGCGCGTTGCCAATATGCTAAAACTTGTAAGCTGATGAAACAGTGATCCAATCGAGGCTGGTGCCTTTGCGGCTGTGCTCGCTAAGGAGCGATCCTCGTCGAACCCGATCTACATTGGATCTGTCAAGTCCAACTTCGGGTACGTATACCTAGCATACTCTCGCTTGGTATTTTCTGACTCGTGCATACAGGCATTTGGAAGGCGCAAGTGGAATTCTTGGCATGGTGAAGGCGATCCTCATGATTAAAAATGGGGTCGTATTACCTACAGCAGGGTTCGAAAGGATGAACCCCAAGATCGAGGGCAAGGATAAAATTAAGGTTCCCGAGACCCCAGTTCCTTGGCCGAAGGGTGAGCCAAAGCGGGTCCTCGTAACAAACTTCGGTGAGCAAAGACCCCCGGTTGTCGGATCGATGTGGAGTTGCTGAGGTAAGAATTGCAGGGTTTGGAGGCAGCAATTCCGCAATCCTTCTGGAAGAAGCCCCGCCCAGATCCGCGGCAGATCAAGCAAATGGCCTGAACGGCACAAGCAGCCTAAACGGCACAAATGGCCTAAATGGGTCAAACAGCGTAAACGGAAATGGCATAAGCAGCACCAACGGCGCACACAGCACCAATGGAACAAACGGAACAAACGGAGCAAACGGTAACGGCGTTGCCTCGCAAGTTTGGCGATTGTTCGTCCTCTCCGCCAAGACGGAAAAGAGCCTCAAGTCCTACTTGTCATCTTTTGACGAGTACCTGGACGAGGCTCCCGAGTCCAGCGATTTTGCCAAGGACCTCGGCTACACGCTCGGTCAGCGCCGCACACACCATCCGTATCGCGTGTCTGTGGTTGCAGACTCGGTGGCCAGTCTTCAAGAGAAGCTAACGGCCGCCGAACCGACCAGAGTCAAGGACCGGACTCTCGCCTTCGCCTTTACGGGACAAGGCGCTCAGTAAGTGGTGATTACTTCTTGGGCTTCTCCGCTGACATGTACAGATATGCGCAAATGGCCTCCGGGCTGGAGCACTACAAGGTCTTTTCCGCCGCCATGGAGGAGGCTGAAGAGCATCTCCGAGAAATGGGAGCAACCTGGTCATTGGCAGAGGAGCTTGCAAAGCCAAAGTCCCACTCACGCATCAATGATGCCGAGATCAGCCAGCCGGCATGTACAGTCGTCCAGCTGGCTCTGGTGACGCTTCTCAAGAGCTGGGGAATCAGCCCGACCGCGGTCACCGGCCACTCAAGTGGAGAGATTGCTGCTGCATTCGCCGCCGGCCTGGTTTCGTTCCGAGCGGCCGTTGCCATTTCCTATTTCCGTGGTCAGGCAGCTGCTCGGTTGGCCAAACAGCAGACCCAGAAAGGCGGAATGTTGGCTGTTGGCGTAGGTCTTGAAGAAGCGACAAGCCTCATCGAGCAGCATGCAGATGGCTACGCGACAATTGCCGCCGTCAACAGTCCCGGCAGCGTAACCATTTCGGGAGACCAGTCTGCCATCGAAAACCTCCACAAGGCCGCCGAGGCGCAAGGTTTGTTTGTTCGTAGGCTCAAGGTCGAGATGGCGTACCATTCCCGTCATATGGAAGAGGTCGCAGGCTTCTACCTCGATGCCATCAAGCCCTACTGCGAAAAGAACGACATTACGTCCATCGGCCAGGACGTCACATTTGTATCTTCCGTAACGGGACACGCAGAAGACCCGGACACAGTTGACGCTTCTTACTGGATCAAGAACCTTGTTCGGCCCGTCAGGTTCGCGGATGCAATCCTGAGCGTTTTCACGCCACAGAAGCAGGGCAAGGCACCCAACATCGTCGTTGAAATCGGCCCGCACGCAGCTCTGAAGAACCCGATCAAGCAGACTCTTCAGCAGAGCGACCGCCCCAAGGCATTGTCTTTCACCTATCTTTCTTCGCTGGTGCGCGACGCAGATGGAGTTGAGAGCTTGCTCAACCTCGCCGGCACTCTCTTTGCAATGGGAATTTCTGTCCAACTGGGAGCGGTCAATCAAACCGACTTGCACAATGCCTCCGTCGTCACCGGACTCCCGGCATATGAATGGGATAAATCGAGTTACGAGCTCAGGCCGCGAGCCACCCACGAAAAGTTGTTCCCTGGCGAGCCCTACCATCCGCTTCTTGGAAGGAGAGTCATTTCCGACGGAGGCAAGGAGCGCGCATACAGGCAGTGCTTCACGCTCGACGAAATGCCGTGGATCCGGGACCACAATGTGGCCGGTGCCGTCATTTTCCCCATGACTGGCTACATGTCGTGCGCCATCGAGGCTACAAGAAGAACTCTCTCGTCTCTCGCGGCCGCGTTCCTCGTGAGAGACTTCCATGTCGTCCGAGGTCTGGAGATCCAAGAAGAGGAAACCGTCGACATGGTGACAAAGATTTGGCCGGCTGCCACTGGGACGGGCACTTTCTCGTCGACGGCTTGGTCATTTGAGATTTCGGCCTGGACAGAGGAGAACGGGTGGACAATCCACGCCTATGGCCAAATCGAGCCGGAGATGACGGACATGACGACAGAAACGCCGACACTGAAAGTGTCTCTCCCCCTTGTTAGCAACATTCCCAACTTGATCGAGCACGATATCGGGTTTGCATACGCAACTGCCGGAGTGCGAGCTACGCGCTATGGTCCGTCATTTCAAAACACGACCAGGTTCTTCGAGGGCGAAGGCTACACGGTGCTGGAACACCGGCTTCGTGACCTTGAACTCAAGGTAGGTCCTTACGGATCGCCCGTTACCGTCGACCCTCCGACACTGGACGGATTCCTGCAGGGCGGCGGTCCTCTCCAGAAAGCGGATGACGGGAGGAGGCCGGCGCAGATGCCCAACTACATCAGCCGGTTCCGAATCTCCAACAAGATCCCCGCGGACCCCGGTCACCGCATCGAAGTCGTTACCCGCTTGCTGAACTACGATGTCAAAGGTGGACGCATGACAATTGGCGTAGCTGCATTTGCCCATGGTCCTGATGATACCCTCATTCCCATCGCCGAATGGGAGTCTGTGGCATTCCGCTCCATAGGGTCGGCTGAGGAAGACCCCGATCCGGCTTCCAGCGTTCCTGACAACTGGGCTTGGGAACTACTTCCCCGATTCGATTACATGGCACTCGACGAGTTGACCAAGAGGCTCACCGCTGGGGCGCTGGACGAAGCCGAAGGCGTACGTGCGCGCAAACTGGAAATGGCTTCCCTGTACTTCATCGACCGGGCGTTGAAAGAGACAGCCGACGATGACCGTTCGAAGCTACCATACCACTTGTCCCGCTTCGTCGACTGGGCGATTCGCACCGTCGCGAGCTATGGGATTGAGTTCGAGGCGGAGCCAACGGCGATGCTCGACGAGCTGCGAGGTCTCGATGCCCAAGGCGAATTGCTCTGCACAATAGGCGACCAGCTCGTTTCAATTCTGCGCGGGGAAATCGAAACGCTCGAGATCATGCTCACGGACAACCGGCTCACGAAGCATTACGAGGCGGATGTGTCGAACGCCCATTTCAGCAGGGTCCTGGGAGACTTGGTCGACAACCTGTCCGACCTGGAGCCCAACCTGCGAATTCTGGAAATCGGAGCCGGGACGGCAGGCACAACGTTGCCGGTGCTGGAGGCCCTGTCGCGCGGCAGAGACGAGCCCGCGTTCCTCAACTACACCTTCACCGACATATCCAGCGGCTTCTTCGAGAACGCGCGTGCCAAGTTGGCCAAGTGGTCTCAGCGCATCACATACAAGAAGCTCGACATTAGCCAGGATCCGGCGGAGCAAGGCTTCGCTCTTCAGGACTTCGACGTCGTCATCGCAGCCAACGTTTTACATGCGACTTCGAACATGACTGTCACCATGACCCACGTGCGCGAGTTGCTGAAACCTCGAGGCAAGCTCATCTTGCTGGAAGCCAACCGCCATCCATCTTCGGTGCTGCCGTTCGCCCTGCTCCCAGGCTGGTGGTATGCCGAAGATGAGTATCGCGATCACGCCGAGGGTCCAATGATACCTGTGAGTGTGTGGAACCGCCTACTCTCGGATACTGGTTTTTCGGGGGTTGATGTCAGCATCCCGGACCGTCCAGGCGAGGCAGAGCAGACCATCGGCATCATCTGCTCAAGCAGAATAGGCAAGCAGGAAGACAACCAGCCGATCATTATTTCCGGGCCCTTCATGGACGACGAAGAAGTAGAATTTGCCCAGCTGGTGGCCGACGCTGTTTCGGATCAGCTCAGCTGCCCGACCGAGACCAAACCGTTTGCTGAGATCGACCCTGCAGAGGAGCCGTACTACATCTTCATCGACTCTCCGCGTCAAAGCCTAATGAAGGACGTCTCACCGGACACATTCGAGGGCTTGAAGACCTTGCTTTTGCACAACACAGGGCTATTGTGGGTCATTCCGGAAGGTGGCCCTCCCGAGGCCAAATTCATCAAAGGTTTGGTGCGCACATTGCGGGTTGAAAATGAACCAAAGAGCCTGCTCTTGTTTGACGACGTCTCCTACACGCCTCAGGGTATCTCAGGGATCATCAAGCTTGCCAAAACTCTGAGGGATCCGGAGGTGACGCGCACTCAAGACCAGGACTTTGCCTGGTATGAGAACTCGATCCACCTGCCCCGTATGCGGCAAAAGAAGGAAGTCAAAGAGCAGTTCGCCGTAGAGCAGGGAATTTCTTTCCGAAAGGTGCAAAACATCTGGGAAAGCGACCGCCCTCTGGAGATGACCATTGATGCCGCCGGAAGCCCTGACTCCATCTACTACCGCAGAACAGATGTTCCTCAACAGCCTCTCGGTGAGGACGAGGTCGTTGTGCAAGTGGAGGCGGCAGGCGTGAGCTACCGCGATCTTAATCTCATCCTTGGTTCCATTCCTTGGGCTCCTCCAGGCTTTGACGGAGCAGGCAAGATCGTCAAGACCGGCTCCGAGGTGGCAGATTTGCGAGAAGGAGACAGAGTTTTCTTCCTGTCACTCGAAACGAGCGGCTTTGCGACATACAAGAAAATGCCGTCCTGGCACGTCGCCAAAATACCAGCCGGCATTAGCATTACGGACGCCGCGAGCTTGCCACTCGCGTACTCTCTCGCAGTCGTGGCACTCATCCACACCGCGCGCCTCAGGAAGAACGAGACAGTCCTCATCCATGCAGCAGCTGGCGCGGTGGGCCAGGCATGTGTTGTGCTCGCACAGCAGCTGGGAGCCCGCATCTTTGCTACAGCGGGCACTGAGGCGAAGAGGGAGTTTGTCCATGAGACCTTTGGCATCCCCAAGGCTCAGATATTCTCCAGTCGCACGCCCGAGTTCAGAGACAGCATTTTGTGCGCCACAGACAATAAGGGCGTGGACGTTATTGTGAACTCGCTTGGCGGCGAGCTTCTGACAGAAACCTGGGCCTTGGCCGCGAACTTTGGTCGGTTCGTCGAGATTGGCAAAAAGGACGCCTTCCAGAACAACTACTTGCCAATGAGCCCCTTTGACAAGAACGTGGCTTTCAGCGGCATCGACCTTCGCGATCTCTTCAAGTACCGGCCGGAAGAGGTGAAAGACATCTTTGGCGAGGTTGTCAGGCTTCTTCGATATAACGTTGTTCGGCCCATCCAGCCTGTAACAGTGCTGCCAATCTCTCAGTTTGCGACAGGTCTGCGCAAGCTCAGGTCTGGTGAGAACATGGGCAAGATTGTCGTCACACTCGGCAAGGACGAGGAGGTTTTGGCCGAAAGCGCCCTGCGGCCGACGCCGGTGAAGCTAAATCCCGACGCCACCTACCTCATCTCCGGCGGAACCCGTGGCATCGGTCTCGACCTGGCGTACTTGATGGTCGAGAATGGAGCCCGCAACGTCGTCGTGCTGGGTCGCAGCGGTCCTTCTGGTCCTGACGTCCAAAAGCTCTTGAAAAAGTACGAAGGAACTGATTTTTGCGTGAGGGCCATTGCCTGCAATGTCGGCTCCCGTACAGAGCTCACCAATGCTCTCGAGTCGATCAAAGACCTTCCCCCAGTTCGTGGTGTAGTGCATAGCGCCCTTCTCCTTAGCGTAAGTGTTGTCGTCTACAGCCCCGATTTATGAAGCTGACAATGTGTATAGGACAAACTGTTTGAGAACGCCACGTACGAGGACTGGCAGATCGTCACCGGGCCTAGAGTCCAGGGCGCGTGGAACCTCCATGAGCTTTTGCCCGGCAATCTCGATTTCTTCATTTCTCTCTCCTCGTTCCTGGGAGATACCGGTAATGCCGGGCAGGGTATCTATGCTGGCACGGCGGTAAGTACTAAGTAGACGCAGGCTTTCACCAAGGCACTCCGTAGGCTAACTTTCCAACCAGTCATTCTACGACGCATTTACTCAATACCGCAATGCGCGCGGCCAGCACTCAGTCTCCGTCGCCTTGCCGGTGGTATTGGACGTCGGCTTCGTTGCTGACAATAACCTCAGCGACATACTGAAGCAATCACTTGGCGCGACGCTGACAATGGCCGACATCCGAACCATCGTCAAGGGCGCCATTATGGGGCCGTCTTCGCCTTTCCATCACAACGGCAAGGCCGCAGCTTTCAAGATGTACCTTGACGGCCAGGCGGTACAGAACGGACCTTGGAAGTATTTCCACCCGGTGCACACCAAGGAACGTCTCAAGGCCGAGCGTCAGAAGAGAGTGGAGGCTGGCGCAAGTATGGGCGCTGACATGTACTCGGCTTCATGGACTGCCGCTGAAGACCCGCTTGTCGGCCTGACCGAAGCGCTGATCACAAAGGTCTCGGCCATGACCATGATTGAACGCGATGAGGTGGGGTCCGACGCTCCGCTTGCGTCCTACAGCCTGGACTCTCTCGTGTCGGTCGAGTTGCGGAACTGGATTCGGCGGGAAACCAGCGTGGAGTTGCCACTCAGCGCCATTACGCAGGCGGATAGTCTGCGGGCTCTAGCAACGGATATTCTCGCGCAGAGGGAAGGAGCCCCGAAGGCATGATGGAATGGCGCAGAAGAAGTGTGATGAAACGGTCGCTTTGGTGAGGAGGTGTTGGATTCATTGAAAATGTTCTGCGTCTAGCTGCAATTAAACTTGTCGTGCGCAACAATTGTCTCTGTCTCTGTCGTCGTCGGAGCTGAAGAAGTGAAGTGCGATGACGCCGCCTGGCCTGGCCTGTGTGCGCGACCGGCAAATTGTTACCCCGCAATCATCTACCCCGCCAAGCCCCACTACCTACCGCTAGCTATCCGCCCTCCCGCCCGTCGCCAAACTCAATCATCACCTCCACCTCCAGCTGTCCCCGTCACCCGCCGTCCACTTTCACGCGTCATCTACACGCCCTTCTCGCCGCATCCCTCGCGAACGCCCGTTACCCGATCCTTCAGCGGCAGAGACTCGGCCATGCGGAACAGCGACCGGCGCTTGGGATATCGCGAGCTGGCAAGAAGACTGGGGATGGACAGTACAATGTAGGCGTTTGAGGGCAAGAAGATGGGCTTCGGATGGGGTGTTGGATGAGCGCCTGGCACAATGGCACTAGGGCATGCAGTGTTCCATGGAGTATCTGGCTTTGAAATAGTCGCTGTGGGTTTCAATGGAGGGCTGTTTGAATAGCTGCTCTACGCACTACCATGCGCATGCCCTCGTGGGCATGTGTTTCGAGCTCAGTACCACGGTCTGTTCATACTTCGTCGTTTCATTTGCTTCGCCAGTGCATGGGGACAGGCTGTTCCGCGTAGGTATACGTTTTAAGCTGTTCGTCACGGTCCATTTACTCATTCCACGCCTGATTGTTGCTGGCATGTGTGGTCAAGTCCTTGTCTCGTGGGCATGCTCTTCAAGCTCAGTATCACGGCCTATTCACACTTTGATGCTTCAATTGCCGCACCGGCGCGTGGGGACAGTTTATTCCGCGTGGTTATGCGTTCTGAGCTCTTTATCACAGTCCATTTACTTATTCTATGCCTGGCTGTTGCGTGCACGTGTATCTCGAGGCGCGTCGCAGGCTGGCGGCGATGGTCGCGATGCGCCTTCCTGCGGCGTTCACGACTGCGCATGCTTGACGCTCCTTCCAACGCTACGCGTCTCTTGTTTAAAAGCTTTTCTTCTCTCTTCTCCTCTTCTTTTCTTCTTCGGCCATCATCTTGACTGCGACCGCGACCGCGACCACGACCATGACCACCACCACGACCACCACGACCATGACGTCCCGTTTCGTCGCCGCCGCCACCTGGCTCGGCTACTGCTTCCCGCCACTGCTGCCGTTGGCGCAGCTCATCCTCCCCATCTACTTCATCTCCTACCGCTGGGGTTGGGCCCGGTCGCTCTGGACCTGCGGGGATTACGGGGTGGCGCCCTTCGCCGTCGGGTCCTGTTCGCCGGTGCTGGGCTGGGTGCTGTTACTGGTGCCGACGATCCTGGGCGTCCTTCGGGTGTACCCATGGTACTGGACCGTTGTCATGGGAGGGATCTGGGCGAGACGTCTTCGTCTGGAAGAATTCCCCGGAGGACGCTGGTGCCGTTTCTGTCGCACCTATAGACATCCGCGGACGACGCACTGCCCTGTTCTGGACCGCTGCCTTCCCCTCTATGATCATTACTGTCACTTCTTCCCCGGGCCTGTTTACGGAGACAGCCAGAAGAGTTACCTCTTGGCGATCGCGGCCCTGCCGTTTCACTGCCTCTTCTGTCTGGGCGTCGCCCTCTGGATGGCGATCGACAAGCGGATGAGGGAGACGAAGACGATCTCCTATGCCGTCGTCATGGCTGTGAGCATGCCCTGCCTCATCTACGACATCTACATGATCGTCGTCATGTGGGGAGACGTAGTTTTCTGCAACTTCCGGGCGTGGGAAGACAAAGGCGTCTTCTACATCTCCGAGCAAGGGCAGCTCGAGCGCGTCCCCTACGAACCGTCCAGCGAGCATCCGTACAACATGGGCTGGCGTGAGAATCTCCGCCTCAACCTGGGACCAGTCTGACAGTGGCCACTTCTCTGGATTGATCCTCCCATCGTGCATGGACAGCCCCTCAACCCCAACTTCCTCCAGACGACGACGACCAGCAGCAGCAGCGGCACCACCGGTGCCTCCATGGCAGGTCTTTATTCCCTCTCTGGTCATCAAGCCGAGGGTTCCTCGAGCAGCGTGGAGCTGAGAGACATGAGCAACCTCTCACGCCCATCCAGAAGAGGCAGAGCATCCTCTTCATCCATGGAGGTTCCTTAGGGTCCTCCTTCCCCCGGTGCCTATGGGTGCAGGCATCGTTAATACCAAGTCCCGTGATCTCCGAGGCGTAGCGCATCCGAGTCCTCGATCATGGGCGGGTTAGGAAGTCATAGTAAGCGGGGGGGAACCGCAAACATCTGTGGCCTGCATGACGAACTCCTATGGAGACCTAACCCTCCCCCAACATGGCTTGCGCCTCTTCGTGGCGCTGGGGAGACAATTCCCGGATGTCTTCGTCAATACAGACTCCGGTTGAAGCTGAGCAAGCCGCCATCATCAAAATCAGTCGCTCGACAACCTGTCCGGTCTATCAAACTCCGACCTTCGGTCATCGCGACATTCAGTCACTGCTCCGATCTTTCACTCGATCGTCGACTGCTCAATCAAACTCTCAAAACTGCTCAATCAACTGCTCAATCAAACTTTCGAACACTGCTCCGAGACTGCTCAATGGACTGCTCATCCATCTGCTCAAATTGCTCTCTCAAACCGCTCTCGCAATCTACACAGTGGTCTGCTCAACAATCTGTTCAAGCTGCTGCTCGCTCTGTTTTCGCTCTGCTGCTCTCTCAAACTGCACACTCAAACTGCTCAATGGTCTGGTCATCCATTTGCTGGTCGCTCCTCTAGTCTCACTTCTGGTCATTCTTCTGGTCGCTTCTCTGTGGTTCAACTCAATGGACTGGTCATCCATCTGCTCGTTCAACTAAAATTCCTTCATGGTCTTGTCGCTCTTCTGGTTGCTCTTCTGGTCGCCCATCCGGTCGCTACTCTGATGGTTCATTTCAAAGGATTGATCATCCACATTGTCATTCTGCTGCTTACTTAAGCAGCTCGCTCAACTCAAACTTCTCAATGGACTGGTCATCCATGCCGTCGTTCATCTCAAGCTACTCGCTTAATACAAGCTCCTCGCTCAATGTAAACCTGTCGCAACTGTCCGGACACTGTCAATTGTCAATTCAACCGACAGACGCCCTTGACATCGCTTCATCATTCGTCGGAGATTGGTCTTCGATCAAGTTCCCTGCCTCACCCTGGGTTTCTGTGAGTTATGTCTTACCTGCTCTTTCACACTTGCAATGCTAACCAGCTGGTAGAGTCTTCAAGAAACAACCTGACGAAAATAGATTGGACAACCGCAAAAGATCTGGCCAGCTCACAAATTTCCGACAGGCAGATCAGAATGTTATCAATTTCGGATTCTGCAAAGCTTCCATGGCGGCAACAATCTCCTGTTTCTCCACTTGTTCACTTGAGGCCTGATTTCCCTCCACTTTTGGACACTTGCCAACCAAGCTACTACCGAACATTTGCCACATCAAGGGACTCCGGGCAACCTACAGTGGCACCGATACAGACAACCACCTTCTATGCTCAAGCCTCCCCTTTTGTCTGCAAGCTTTCGCAAAGTCGCTGCGCCGGCAATTCCTTCGTCGCGCTTCACTTCACTTCACCTCAAGTGTGACGTCGCTTGCCTAAGTAGCAGCAAAGAGAAGTTCCTAACGGCGTCTTAACAGTTCTCACGCCCTGCTCGCTCAGTAAGTCCGTCACCACCCTGCTGCCTCATAAAGTTGCTGACCGTCGTATCTGCCCAGTACTCAAGCACGCCGGCTTTTCTACAACGATGCAGGTGTTCAGGTCCACGGCACGTGTGCAGGCCACATGCATAGTAACCTCATCTCATACAATAGCGCTCACTGGTACATTCCTTGCACATGTCATTGTCCGACTCATCTTCTACGGAGCCTCACTTGTTTGTTCTGGCTACATCCGATGCGACGTGGTAACGGTGGTGGTGGTGGTGGCTGGACTGCTCCGGGCGGACACAAGTGCATGTCCCGTTACAGACGGTCCTGGGTTTTGCTTACTTGTAAAAACCTTTCGTGATGTGTGAAGGTTGGTAAAGTAGTGGCATTATCGTGAATAGAGGGGTTAATAAGGACTTGGGCTGTACAACCATAGTTCACTGCGCTGGGAGAGAATGGTGTTGATAGTGTTTCATCATCATACAAGACGGTAAATCACGCTTCACGGTAAAAGGGACATTAACAAGTGATGAGCGAAAGTATTTATTTTCAACTAGGCCTTTGGTTTAGTTGCGTCCGCACATATCGCGGTACCATCGGCGGGATTCTAGCAAATGTTAGCGCGAGAACATATAAAGTTTGTGGAAAATGACTGCTTACCGTTGATGATGTCTTTGTATTCGTTTTTATTCCCTGAGCACTTTTTTCTCACACAGGGGCCGACGTTGAACAATAGCCAATCTTCTACTTTCGTTTCATCTCCGACACAGAAGTCGTATTTTGTTGCCGTTGTGATGTTGTATTTGTCGGCGTTTTCGATGTTGCATGATTGCTAGGGGAACACCGTGTTAGTATTGTTCATGGATGCACCGTCTACTAGGGATAGGATAGGATAGACTTACTGAGCATCGATTGAGGTGCTAGATTTCTACTGGTTCATCTCCGTCTTTTTCTTTTGATATGACTGGTTTTCGGGAAAGAACAGGGCAAGCGATGGCGAAAAGCCCCAAAACGATGGTGGAGAGACGCATGATTGTGGTTTTGATGATGATGAACCTTGATGATGATGTTCGAGACTGCAGCTTTGATGGTGGATAAATGTGATTATAGCTTTCGCGATGGATAATTACGACTGCAGCTCTGACGAGAAAAAAGGAGAAGAAATGGAGGGTTTATATAGCGCGCGGTAAAGAACAGATTGCAACGAAGAGACTATTTTTTCCGTGGTTCAAGGCCACGATCAGGGTCCAATCCATCATCACTGCGATATATCTCGTTATTATATATTCCAAATCTAACTGGAAGCATCCAGACCGTCAAAACATAATATTCCCAACTCGCCAGGCAAAAGGCGTATGCAAACCACGGAAGCTCACCATGCGGCAGTATATATTTACGATGTGTGCAAGATTTACATTTCATACATCATAAATCACCCTTATCTCCGCACCAAATCGTTCCCCTGTCCAAACAAGCCAACATGCGCTTTTCCAAGATCTCCCAATGCGCTAAAACCATTTTGGCAGCGGCAGCGGCAACGGTGTTGGTAACGGTGGTAGCGATAACAACGCCATTATCATCTACATCGCATCAGCGCCACCGCCCGCGCCGTGATCGTCGCTTGTGAGGGCCGCGGCGGCTTCTCTGCGCATGTGGATAGGACTCTTATCGTCTCCTCTTTTGCTGCAAGGTAAGCTACCTGCTCTCCCGTGATACCGCCGCAACTTACGCCAACCACCCAGCAGGTTTACCTGGCAGCCTCAACAACTTCAATGACACAACACAAGCACCACGGCATGTTTTAAGAGGCATTTTAAAGGTTCGGAAGACTCTTAAGGAATAACTATACTTCTTAAGGATATTCGTTTAGGCAGTGTCCTCAATAAGAGTAGAGACGTAATGAAGAAATAATCAAGCATATAATAAGTAGACAGACCGTGACAAAGAAGCCGGAGTACATACCTATACGGAGTAGTCGGCCCCCCACCGCCTAGAAACCGTCTACTAGCATCCGCCGCGCCCTACGACATACACACGCCGCCTACCTAGGCGGAGACGAAGTAAACAGCCCGTAACAAAGCGACCAGAATATATACCTATATAACGCACTCTATCGCCCTACACCTAGAAATAGTTCGCTAGCATTCGATACGCCTTATAATACATACACGCTACCCACGCGTGTACTAAAGAAGCAGGTAGACCATGATAAAGAACACAAAAAACATACCTACGCGGCGTATTCTATCCCTATATGCATAGAAGCTATTCGCCAACATCCAGCAAGCCGTCAGGCATGCATACGCAGACTACATAGGCAGGGAGGAAGCACAAGGGCCCTCGCGACGAGCATAGAACGCGTACCTACACGGCGTATCCCATCCCCATACATCCAACAGTAAGCCGTTAATATTCGGCAAGGCCTACGGCACATATACGCCGTCCATGCGCACTAAAGAAGAAGGTAGGCCGTAGTAACGCGCAAAACATACGTACCCCCGCGGCATAGTCTATCCCCCCCAGCACTCCGCGCCCAAGCCGCAGAAGAAGCCACTAAGCCACTACACATCCTACTATGCACACCCGCACCCAAGGCAGCGCAAAGCGAGCATATATTAAAGAATCAAGCAGGGAGGAAGTAAATAGATCGTGACAAAGCGACCGGATGCCATACCCACGCCGCGTATCCCGTCCCCATACAGCATTCCGCAATCAAGCACGCAAGAAGCATTAAGACAGTGACAGGAAGGTTAGGACGCAGACTTATGAGAGACAGGTCGAGACACGGGCACGGAAAAAGCAAGCATATAATTGTAAAGCTCACAACGCATACTCCCACACCACATCATCCAGCCCTCTACACCTACTCCCAGTGCGTGGTAGCGCCAATGGCGTCGCCCGACTTGGGCAGCAAGAAATCGCTCGCCTGGATGCGGCCATCGGCCTGCCTGGCGCCCTGGACCAAGCTGGCATCGACGCTGACGAAGCTGCTGTTGCTCCAGGTCTCGGAGCCCTCCCAGGAGTTGCCCTGCGTCTCGGTGCTCTCGAGGCTGACCTGGTCGGCATTATCGGTCGAGCCAGCGTTGGCAGCGGCAATGTTGTCCGTCATGGACGAGGTGGACGAGACAGTCTGGAAGCCGACGGCGTTGTTGTTCCACGCCGTGTTGCGCGTGAAGACGAAGTCGCCCGGCTGCTTGTTGTCCGTGAAGCCCTTGGCCGCGTTGCCGAATGAGATGCAGTTCGTCACCTTGTGCGCGGCGGGGCCCTTTTCGTCGTCGGACCCGCCGCCCAGCTTGAAGCCGTTGCCGTCGCCCTCGAAGTCGGTGAAGTCCCAGCGGTTGAAGCCGTTGCCGTACGAGATGACGTCCTCGACCGTGACGGGCGACTTGAACTCCCTGCTCGCGTGTTAGCTACGTTGTGCCCTGTGTTCTGCGGTAGAGTAGATGGGTGGTTGTGCTGTGCCGGGACAGAGTGACGTACCAGAGGTCCAGCCCGTCGTCGACGTTGTTCCACAGGCGTGCGCCGCGCAGGACGTTGCCCTCGCCCTGGCCCTCCTTGCAAGCGAAGCCGTCGGCGCTCTCGCCGTTCTTGCGCGGGTCGCGGTTCATGTACGAGTCGAGGTAGATGACCTGGTTGTTGCTGGAGGCGCCCTCGAGCTGGAAGCCCGTCTCGTAGTTGTCGTGCGTGGTCAGGCGCTCGTAGTAGTTGTTGCTGGCGTCGCGGGCATACACGCCGTACGGCCCGTTGATGAAGGTCATGTTGTAGAACTTCCAGTACTCGACGCCCTGGATGTGGAAGATGCCGCGGTCGCTGTTGGCCAGCGAGCCGCCCAGCTCGGCCGGCGTGCCCTCCAGCTCCTCGCCGTCAATCGTGACCTCCTCGCCCTCGTACGCCGTGACGGTGAAGGGCGCGTCGGCGGTGCCGTTCTTCTCGGTGAACTGGATGTTGCTCGTCGGCGTGTAGGTGCCGCCGCGCAGATAGATGGTGTCGCCCGCGGCGGCATTGTCGACGGCCGTCTGGATCGAGGCGTACGGGCTGTCGAGCGAGCCGGTGCCCGAGTCGGTGCCCTCGGGCGAGACGTACAGGTCGGCGGCCAGGGCGGACGAGGCCAGCAGGGAAAAGAGCGTGAAGTGAGACATGGTGGATGAGACTATGACGGCGAACAAGAGCAGTAGAAATGTCGAGAGGAATTTATATCATTCATGCGGCTCCATGATAGCAGGCCTGCCAAGACCATGGTGTTTCCTAAGTCGGCGTAGGACGAAACAACTATACACGTAGGAGCGGCGCCATTCGTGGAAGAGGAGAAAGAATAATATAGGAGAAACGATGCGGGGCTTGGCGGGGTCCGTTTACTCGTCCTGCAATAGGCAGCGATCAGAGGAGCGGAGAGCGGAAGAGGCAACGTCCGGAGGTGAAGGGCGGCCCGTCATTCCAGAAGTCGATGCGGCCTTCATGCGTTCTCCCTTTTTCACTTTATTCACTTTAGATTGCCAGGCGGAAGATATCTTGCCACGATCCACGACTCACCGAGATCACGCAAGCACAAGCAAACTTTCCATCGGTTTCCCGCTTTCGTGTTCCGCCGAGCCCCCGTACCTGCCAAGCCCCGCCAAGCCCGCAGTTGAGCCGTTCCACCCTCGCACGCCGCGCGACGTCATGGCTCCGAGAGCTCTCACCACCACTTTTCTCCCACAATGGCACAACAATCCCGCCCAATGCACTTCCTCATCACCGGTGCCGCCCGCGGCATCGGCCGCGGCCTGACTCGCCACCTCCTGTCCCAAGGCCACCGTGTCTACCTGCTCGACGCCAACGCCCCGGAGCTCGAGCACACGCTCTCGCGCGCCGCCGCCTGGGCCACGACGCCCAACGCTTTCCGCGGCGAGCGCGTCGACCTCGCCGACCGCGCCCGCGTGCGCCAGGCCGTTGCTGCTGCGGGCATCTTCTTCGGCGGACGGCTGGACTGCTTGGTGAACAACGCGTTCGCGACGCCGCACGTGTGGCGGGATGGCGGGAAAGCCGAGGACGGCATCAACGGCCAGAACGCCGAAGACGCCATCATGGCGCAGTGGGACGAGAAGATTGCCGTCGGGCTGACGGCCCCGTTCCTGCTGAGCAGGCTGTGCGTGCCGCTGCTCGTGGGTGCGCGCGGCGGAAGCGGAAGCCCCGGCAGCATCGTCAACGTCTCCAGCACGCGCGCGCTGCAGGCCGAGCCCGACCACGAGGCCTACAGCGCCGCCAAGGCCGGCCTGCTGGGCCTCACGCGCAGCCTGGCCGTCAGTCTGGGCGAGCGGCACCGCATCCGCGTCAACGCCATCATTCCTGGCTGGATCTGCGTCGATGACGAGAACCGCGCTGCCGACGAGCAGGGCGCAAAGTGGGAGGAGGGCATGAGCGAGGCGGACCACAGGTGGCACCCTGCGGGCAGGGTTGGGAAGGTCGACGACGTGCTCAAGGCGCTGCAATTCCTGGTCGAGAGCGAGTTTGTGACGGGCGAGGAGATTGTGCTGGATGGTGGCGTGGGGAGGAAGATGGTGTATCCGGAGGAGTAAGGTAATGCAGGAATGATTGTATAAACAGCAGATTTTGCTGTCGGTGGGGATGCGCCCCTCGCAGCAATGCCAGCCTGCTACCGATCAGCCAGCGCCCTCACGTCGTGACAGCTAGGAGTAGTAGCTTCGCCATCGCAGCTCCATTATCAACCACCACCCCGTCCAATCACCCACCGGACAGGCTCCGTCGATTGAGCATCAGTCAGTGTGCACCAGCTTCCGCGCCAGCTGCAGCATCACCTGCAGCATCCGCGGCAGTGGCTAGGGTGTTCGAAGAAGAGCGTCAAAGGAGGGACTTGGTTCTTGGACCTCCACGTCTTCCACACGCTCTCAAGCGTGTGCGTGACTCTCGCTCGCTCGCGGCTGTGCGTCTGTTTACCGTGTTTGTCGTGTTTATTTGTCGCGTACACCGTCACGAAACGCTTGCGCGTGTCGCGCCATTTACGCTTGTGTGCCGCGGCGCTGGCGGTGTTCAAAATTTGTGGGAGGAAATGATTTGGTGGAGGTTAGCGTTGAGGCGGGTTTACGAGGAACAAGAAGGTAAGCGATTGGTTGGGGCATCCCTTTTCGTGCTCTCAATCACGACTCTTCCTCCCCTGTTCGTGCTTTGCTGCCTTCATTATGCGACTCGGGAATAATTTCTGGGCAGCTCTAAGACGGTGGACGGCAGCACGCGAAGGGATGCGACGGGAGGAGGGGCTTTGTTCGGGCGCGGTGGCGGTCAGGAAATCTTTGGAATTAAGACGGGTTTGCGGGGTCGTGGTTGGGCTTTTTCTGCGATGTGAGTCTCAACGGTTAACGTCCCTGGCCCATGAACGAGATTGACTGCATGGCGAGATAGCTAATCAGATACCCTTCTCAATCTCGAGCTTCGTCGGGCGCTTTCGTAGTAGACCGGTCTACTTGTATGCTTGTAGAGTATTTTCATATTGTTATCGAAAGCCTCCAATTGGCTATTTCGCTGAGCAGTCAATCTCGTTTAACCGACGGGTACGTTACGTGGTTTGGACTCGGATCACTTTCCTTCTTCTTTTCATCGTCATCTTTCTCCTTCTTCCTCTCATGTTCGTCCTTATTTCCGTGTTCCTGTAGTGGCGCAATGTGCGGTCTTCGTCGCCTTCTTTTCCTAGTGGACGATTCAGTGATGTACGATTCGACTGCCGTATTGCGCATGTAGGTTTCCGATGCGCAGACGACTGAGGCTGTGGGCTGGCGCTCGTTAGGCAGAAGCCGCAAGGCGTAATCATGGGCGCACGCAGGTGTGGACACGCTGCGTTGGCTTGCAAGGGTTGTGAGGGTAGGCGGATACAGAGTCGCGATCGAACAGGTTTACAGGCAGGCCCCGGGACAAGCTACATGCCTGGAAGAACTGCTGGTGCGATCTGACCAGTAATGGTTATTACCTGTCCCGGATGACCTGATGATAAAACAAGTCTGCTGACGGCATTAGCGTTGTTACACCAAGACATTGCCACCGTCTGATATGCATTGTCTGCTAGCTGAAAGACTGATCCTCTCCCACTCTCCTCTCAATTATTCTCTCGGGAACAGCTCAGTATTCTTTTCGAGATATCTCGTCCATTTCCTGCTCATCCCTTTTTGTATTCCGAAAACCTCTCCCCCCTGCTAGCGTTCCTTTTCGGAAGTACCTATACTTATCTAAGCGAAATTTCACGTCGTATCCTCACTTCCTCATACAACTCTTCACCACGTACATCGACACAATGGCGACGACCCAGGGTCACAAAAGATCGCGTAGCTCAGCAAGTCCGGATGCCTGCCCGGATGCAACACCGAGCCACAAGAGACCTCACACCGAAGCAAATGAAATTGGGATAGATGCTTCCCCGGATGCGACGAGCGGGCAGTCTCCCGAAGCCGAGCCGATTGAGTTTTCTTCCGAACCCACAAATTTGTGTTCGTACTGCAAGGTCTTGGAATTTGACGATGCGCTCCACGGATCTCAGCGCGAATTAGAGGACGGAACAAAAGTCTTTAATCCTAAGGACATAGTAGAACTCGATTATGGTGACGAAGACTACGGCATTACTCTGATATATAAGCGTAACGACACGTTTTCAGAGCTCCCTTTGCTGGCAGAGGGTGCGGCTGCGGGGTGTTGGTTCTGTGCATTCCTACGATTAATGATGCTTAAGATTTATGGAGGGACCCGCTACGGCAGATCTGAGTATAACATTGACTTCCATGAGCTGGGTATCTATATTCGTGGATCCTTTCTTGGTGTTTGGTTCACTATTGGATCCGAAAAATGGGATAGTTTTTTTCTTAATATTTGTGCGAATTCTGGTAAGACCATAAGTACTATTACAAGAAAACGTGCTTACACTCCTATAGGGGCATGCGCAACTTGGCTGCAGATCGAACATAGACCAATGTTCAGAAACTCATTATCTGAGGCTCGCATATCAAAGATACAATCTTGGCTCAGTAGGTGCGAATCGACCTGCCACCCATCGCTCAAGGATTTCCCACTTCCAACTAGGCTCATCGATGTCGGGACCAACTTCAACAACGAGGCAAAATTAATTGAGACACGAGGTCATACCGAAATGCTCGGTTCTCGTTACGTGACACTAAGCTACTGTTGGGGGGATCCTGAAAGCCAACTGAAGACGACAAGAGCAAAGCTTAAGAATCATAAAGAACGCATACCACTCGAAGAGCTGTCTCAGACATGCCATGATGCAATTATGCTCACACGCTGCCTCGGAATAAAATATCTTTGGGTAGATGCTCTTTGCATTGTCCAAGGCGATGAAAAAGACTGGGAAGCGGAGTCTTCGAGTATGTTCGACATCTACAGGAACGCCCATTTAACAATCGTGGATTTAAATGCTGGCACTTCTCACGCTGGCCTTCTCAAGCCGACAGGAAGACCTTCCGTTTGTGTTAAGTTAAATTTACCTCGAGGCTCGACGAAAACATACAAGGGCATTTCTGGATTGCCGAGGAGCCCTGGTCGGCCGATGATGTTCGACATGAGAAAAGGATGTCATTGTGGAAGACTCGTGGATGGACGTTTCAAGAATCGGAAGCTTCCAGACGGCGTCTTTATTTCGGAGAGAAGATGGCCTACTTTAAAAGCCCCGATTTTGTAGAGGCCGAGAACGGCTCCTATTCAACGACGCCGAAACCTGAAAATGGAAAATGGGGTGACTGGCTCAAACGCCTGGATACCATCCAGGATCACGAGATGAGACTGAAAGCTTGCTGGTATAGGCCAATAATTAAGTTTTCTGGTCGACAGTTTACTGTTGAAGATGACAGATTACCAGCTGTATCCCAGATGGCGAGATATTTCCAACAAAAAACCGGAGATATGTATCTTGCAGGCTTGTGGAAATCTGACCTTCTGCGAGGACTTTTGTGGGCTGGCTCTGTAACGAGCTTCCAACAGCTGCTGCACATACTCATATCACCATCTCGCGTTACTCCAACCTGGAGCTGGGCCCGTTGTAAGCAATTTGTGTTTTGGCCAATGATGGAACACTCGGCTCCCGTCATGCCACGAAGCGAAATCCTAAGCGCCAAATCGGTCCCTAGGGGTGGTGACCTATTTGGCCGAGTTCAGAGCGCCGCCGTCACCATCCGAGGAAGATGTTGTGGCTTCCCAAAGAATGTCGAACGCCTAGGATCGGATCTGCGAACGGTCTTGGAGAATGATATAATTTTTTATTTCCATTTCGACTGGAACCAACAATGCCCTGAAACTCCAGAGATTGCTGCGCGGTATCGGGTAACTATGCTTCGTACAATCTTCCTTCCGGGTGATAACGTTACTAACCCTCTGGGACAAACGTATGGTCTTTTGCTTATTCCGAATCCAAGCGAGGAAAACAATGATTGGTATCGTGTAGGGATTTTCAGAATGGTAGGAGATCGTTCGTCTTTTTTTGAGACATGGGCGTTGTGGGACTTCACAATTGTATAGAGTATTCTTTCTCTCTTCTCTTAACAAGACCAAGCTTCCGTTATCAAATTCATAGAAAAAGATCAGATGCTGCAACAACCTATGTAAGACTTTTAGGACCTTAATAGTAGAGTGTTTTGCTTAGTTAACGATGTCATTCGTGTTGTAAAGAGATTTCAGTGAGAGTGTTTAGCGTTTAAATTCTTATATTAGTCCCCTATAGCCTTAATTAGTTTGCTTAGGAGAATATCATCTCATTACGGATTAAGCACTAACGCTCCCTTTCCTCCCCGCTAGCGCTGTTAGAGCCTATGCTTGATCGCATCCTCGCTTCCCTATACAACCAAGGAAAGGCGTCTTGGCAAACTGCAAGAAAGTGGCTGGCAACTCACAAGAGGCGTGAACAACAGCAGGGTATATTTCTTTTTATTCATTTTGATCCCAGTCTGGTCCGTTTCAACACGACAAGCGAGAATGCCTGCATGCTAAAAATTCTCCGCGTGCATTGTTTGCAATTCAATCGCACCTCTCTCTACATAACTATCTCAACCTTTGACCATCTCCTTGACGGATTTATCTACAGACCAGTTTAGTACACCCGTAGGCTTTCGTAAACAGGTGAGTTAGTACTATCGACCTGGTCATGGAAGCTCTGTTACTAACCAAGTGCCAAAAACAGCGTTCAAGTCTTCCGATCCAAAGAGCCGCTCCTCGTCTAAAGTAGACATGCAAAGAACGCTTCAGCCATGGATGCAGAACTGAGAAGAACCGTGGCCGCCTGCGTAACATGCGAGAGAATCGTCGTCTTCACATTGCGAATCAACCGAGGACCGTTGGACGGCGAGTTTCCAGCTGGCCCACGCAACTCCTTCGTGCCAACCCTCTGCGCGGACTGTGATGTGGACGAGGATCAGGAAACTGTGCAAATCAAACAAAAGCCCGGGCAGCAGATGGACTGTGGGGATGGTCCGGCAGAGGTAGAGAGACTTGGCCTGCGGCTGTCTCAAGGCCTCTTGGTTAATTGGGAGCCCTACGCCATCATGCGTGAGTTTCTGGACTGGAGCCTTGAGCTTGAGTAAGATGGATCTCGCATCTTTGACAGAGATTTCCTCTTCGGCTTGTTTTGATCGGATTGGAACATCCAAAGCGCGATAATATCGGACGATCTACCTACCCGGATAATCGATTATTTGGAGGGAGGCTTTTTCTGAGGGAGTTTGTACTGATTGGATGGTTTTCTAGTCTCTGTACGCAAGGTCCTGGCTTCAACTCATAACGTAGACGAACAAAGCAACTGGCTCTGATATACAGTTGGAGTCTACTCTCATATATTGATCAACTTAATTAATGTGAAGCTAGGCGCGAGGAATTGGACGCCGCTTGTCCTCCTAAATTACTACTACCTATGGAGGTATATATGCTGCTATCTAAAAGAACACGTTTTCTCTTTAAAATCCTTATTCCCTTGCAGTGGATAAACGTGTGGTGTAAGGGGTAAGGCTGTAGTGTAACAACTGACTATAATAAGGCTGAAAAAACGAGAGTTATCGGAGTGATCCTGGCTGACAATTAATCACCTTCTTTTGCAGCGGAGTTTGTCTTGAATCAAAATATGAAAGTAAAGAGAGCAAACACTAAGTGCTATCAGTTTTTTACGGGTTTCAAACTAGCTTTTTTGTTACAACAAACTTAGTATTTGAAAATCCTAAGAGGCTATAGGTATGTATATCTTTTTTTGCTGTTAAGCAAACCATTTACCTTTCCTTCCTGAGACTATACTACTTTTCAGCGAATGCACTCTCTGTTCTCTTTTATCAGCCAAAAGCTATCACCAGGTTTGTGCAAAGAATAAGTTAAATCAGCTGTGATGAACGTCCCTTTGTTTGTTCTAGTTCTAGCACCGTCTGTCTCAGTGCCATAGTCGAAGATGTTCCACGACCAAGAACTTTCTGTATATAAAAGCTTTTAAACTATGTTCTCCATAGCCTTGTCCCACTTCGATTCCTTGCTTCAACAGCAGAAAAAGTCTACTGGGTATCGATATCATGTGTCTAAAATGCCAAACAACTTAGCTAATTGCTGTCTCAAAATACTAAAAGAAAAATTTAGGAAAATGCACCGAACGTGTTAGATATAAACTACTTCCGAAGACTTTCCTCTATATTAAACTTATTAAACAGCCTGATAACATGCAGCTATTTAGCAGGTGTTCTTAGTATAACATTCCATAATACCTTTTATTTAGCAGGTCTCTAAAAAGAGCAGGTATTAATGTATTCAGGGGGGTAACAGCTCAATTAGAAAAGTACGAAAGATAGTAGGTAACATTTCCAATGAAACGAAACAAATTCAAATAGTTTGTAATGCTTTAACAGCCGTAGTAGAAGTTTTCATCCTCATATGCTTTACCTGCTGCTTTTTCTTAGCTTCTAAATGTTTACTGCGTACAGTGTAAACACCATACATACTATTATAGCAATGCGCTATCGAAGACCGTATCGTCTTGCATTCGGCACTGAAAATGTTGCGTCGAATGGAGGGTTTGACAGGTTGAGAACATAAAAGCGGCTTTCCGTTGTTGCTGATATTGTGTGTAGATCATACCGTTGAAACGACCATTCGAGGTCGACAAACCCCTTTATGTCGATAGTTTTGTCAAATATCAGGACCGTTCCATCGCATGGCTGTATCTCGCAGCCTAGATCTTTTACAACACGACAAGAGACCAAGTCAAGATTGCCAGGATTATCAAGTATGGTAAGCCGTTGTATTTTGGATATTCGATACTTGGGCGTGGGCTGGTAATGAAATTCAATTTGATGGTATCTGCCTGCTGATGATTGGCGTCTACGCTGAAGAACATGTTAGCCTGCGTGAAGATGCTCAAAAAAAAAAAAATTACGCAAAGCACCAGTTACTTCTGGAATCTGTTATAAACATACCTTTCTTGGAGTTCTGCTTTTGAAAGTTAATCCGCAAACCATTTCCAGTATATAGATGTGGTGGAAAGGGAAGTGGAAGTTGAACTTTCAATGGGAAGATGTGGACGAAAACCATTGGGGCTATCTCATATATACAGCTGCTAGGCGCCTGTCTTAATAAGATTCCCATGACATGCCTTAGGGCTGACTGGAAAGCCCGGTTTCGTAATGGTCAATCTCACCCTTGTGCGAGTCCTGCACTGTTTTCTTCATACGTACTAGAATGAAGTCTGTGCAGAGGCCTTAGCCAACAGAGATACAGCAGTTGTTCCATGGATTCTACACCGTGCATACCTCCACGTTAATTGTTGGGAAATCGCATTCTGTATCATGCTAGGTCACCATTTACTGCTTCAAAATCCCTTCAAAATTGATGTCAACCAGACTGAAAGAAGGCCCAAGGTGTTAGATAAAGGCTTCGGCGATAGATTCCTGATTTAGGTACCAAGAGATTGGCCCTTTAAACCGGACTACGCTAGTACCTACCATCCCACGCAGCTTCCGACACGTGAAATACCATTGGTTAGTTACATACATAGACAAGCGCCACCATGCAAGAAGCCAAATGTGGAGGTCGCGTGCGCAAGGTTACTGCAGAAGCGCCCTGGTTGGGAAGTGAAGGGCCTAGCGAAACTTTTATTGCAAAGAAATGCAACAAACTTCGCATATCAGCCCCAAGACCCTTTCTTTCATATCAGTTTGAGGATTCAAGTGGTAAGGTATCCTCGAACCAGCCCTGGTGTAGGCAGTGTTGAAGAAAATGGGGCTAGGCAGTGAGCCTCTTAAGATTGAGTACTTAAATTCCGGAAAACTTCTATATATACCCCATTAAGACTTCTGCGGCAGATAAACAAGAGGTCAACGTTCATGCGTGCCGAAATTTTGGCGAGCATGACTTGGGCGCCATTTTCAGCAAAGTATTTATGGATTATCATTTTCAAACCTAGTAACCCGATTTGATATCGAGTAAGCCTTTGACGTAGCTACGTTACATTGCAGAGTAACGCATGCCCTCCTACACGACTTACCCAAGAATGACGTGTACAAGTGGCGTATTTAAGCGATATAAATCCTTGTGATTGATTCTCGTTTAACAGGCTACCGGTCTGCTCAAAAGGATGTTCCGAGGCTTTCCCTCAAAAAGTCAGCTGAGCTTCACTGATCATTTTTTCTAGAGTCTAGACAGCAGTACATGCGTACTTGCTTGAAAGCGAACATTTCCTTATTTTTTTTTTTTTTTTTTTTCTTATTTTATCGTAGAT